TCTATATATAGATAGATACACATATATACACACACACTATATATATATACACACACACACACAGGGGGTGTGGTGCTTTAGGATAAGCACTGGACTGTTAACCACGAAGTTGGCAGTTCAAACCCACCAGCTGCTCCTTGGAAAGCCTATAAGAAGTGCACTGGTAACCACAAGGTTGGTGGTTACCAAATGGACAGTGACTAGGAAGACTGTAGGAGAATTGATGCATTTGAGTTATGGTGTTTGAGGAGCATATTAAAAATACCATGGACTGCCGAAAGAACAAACAAATCTGTGTTGGAAAAAGTACAGCCAGAATGCTCCTTGGAAGCCAGACTGTCCAGACTTCGTCTCTCATATTTCGGTCATATTAGGTGGGACCAGTTCCTGGATGTGGACATTGTGCTTGGTAAAGTGAAGTATCAACACAAAAGAGGAAGACCCCCAAGGAGATGGATTTCCCAATCCATACTAGTGGCGGTAACACTGGGCTCAAGTGTAACAATTGTGAGAACAGTACAGGACTGGGGAGTGCAGGCGGTCCGGTCCTACTCAGTGAGAACAGCACAGGACTGGGGAGCGCGGGTGGTCGGAGTCTACTCAATGGCACCCAACAACAACAAAACCGGATGTTGTTCCCAATCTCCACATCCCATTTCAGCTGGCCTGGTGAAATCAGCTGCTGTTCCTCCCTGGGCAAAAACTTGAAGGAACCCTTTCTCAAGGCATTAACACCCGGGAGGGAAGCAGCTGACGCTCCTTCTACCGAGTCAGGCTTAATTTTTGCAGTAAGGGTGATGAGCTTACTGGCCCAGGGCTTCAAACTGGTGCCCTCTGGTTCTATACCTGCCGAGAATTTGCCTTTCCACCTGGGATACACTAAATCAGAATCTACATTTTATAAAGATTCCCAGCTTATTTTTAAATGCTTTGAACGTCTAAGAAAACGGGCAAGCAAATCCTGGTTCTACAGTAGACCCTAAGTTCAGACCATGGACAGGACATTTCTTGTCACTGCGGGGTCAGTGCCCCAAGGTGGTCTAAGGGTAAAGAGCCTTCATTCTTCTCTCTCTGGTGGTGGTGGTTGTGTGCCATGGAATTGGGACGCACAGCAATCCTATATAAGGTTTCCAAGGCTGTGAATCTTTACAGGAGCACAAAGCCTCATCTTTCTCATCTACCTGGTAGATTTGAACTGCTGACCTTGCAGTTAGCAACCCAATTCATAACCCACTACATTACCAAGGCTCCTTAGCTTGGAAGGACAAAAATCACAGCCCAGGTCGTCATGTTCTGTGTTTTAAAGCATGGATTCCCACACCCCATTTCCTAGCCATGTAATGACACCATGTGTTTTCCTCATTGCTGGGAGAATGAAATGTGTTCATGCACATGATGCTCTGAGTGCACCCCATGGCGTCTGGAGAGCACTAATGGGTACACGGGGACCCTTTTTGCTCCTAGGGTAGCAACCCAGCCTTTTCCCAAAGAGAATTCATCATGACGCTCAGCCCTTCCTATAACCCAGCTGGTGAGAAAACAACCCAATGGCTGTTTTCTCAATTCCACATTAAACACGCGCCCCCTCAGGCCCGGTGGGCTCCCAGACCTAGCGGCTCCCAGCCAGCCCGCAGCACAATTCTCCATATGCAAGTGGCTTGGGTAAGACGCATTAGCCTGTTGAAGATTGTTTCAAGACCGTGTCTGGCGTTGTCTCTACAGGGCACCAAAGTGCCTGAAGCTTGAAACTAGGGTTGGGGACTGGGGAAGCAGCTAAACCTGCCAACCCAAGGGCAGATTCCTCCTCCACCTCACTCCTGCTAGGGGGAGTGAAAATGTAAAACGTGTTGCACACTAACAGTTGTAACTTTTTAAGCCAAACATTTCCACGTTAAGGCACTCTGATTAGGGCCATTCCAAGGAAAGCCAGAAAATGGGCCAGGAAAGGGAGGTAGAAACTCTGTCCAACTCTTGGCTGAAAAGCAGACATCAAAGCTATGACTGTCTTTAGAGGAAATGAAACCCATAGGGCTTTGCCACCAACAACTGGGTACCTACACTCCCTCACCATGACTTTATAGAGAAAAAGGGTGCTGACCATTTGTTCAAAATGTCCCCTAGGCCCTGGACTAGGAGTTTATCCTTGAAGAACCTGACTCTTGGCACTCACCTGGGAATTCTGGACCAAGCCTCGCTATTTTCCTTTCTTCGTTTTCCCTTGATGTCATTATGGATTTTGTATAAAGGACTGCTTTATACACACACAGCCATCTTGAGTCTTTAAAGTATTTCCTAGGTACAGTTTTTTTCTAATGAAAAACTGAAGTTCACTCAGGCTTCATCATGCAGATTGAATTTGAATGCCCGGTGAGATCTTTCCAATTTCGGCACATGGATTCAGTGGAAATATCATCTCAGAAATGGAAAGTTCACCCCTACCCACCCAACCCCCAATAGGTCCATTGTGCCACAGCCCAGGACGAAGTCTTCACAGCACCTTCACCTCAGAAAGTATGATGTCTGCTGTCTCGGGAAGCTGACTCTACCAGGGCAGAGATGCTGTTCTGTCCACAGCTGTGTCCCCAGCAGGAGTGGACATGGCTTCAGCATATAGTCTGCTAAATGCGTGAATTTAGTAAGAAGAAAGAGAAGAAAAATGATAGCTATTGGTAATTACAATGTTTCCCTACCAAAAATAACAGTCCAACGTAAGATTTCTGGCTCTCAAGGGCAGAGGAAACATTACAGACCTACTTCTAAAACTGTTATGTGTTGTTGTTAGATGCCGTCGGGTTGATTTCGACTCATAGCAACCCTGTATACGGTTTCCGAGGAGTGGCTGGTGAGTTTGAACCGCCAACCTTGTGGTTCAAACCAACCCTGTGGTCCAGTGATCATCCTACAGCACTATTTAGTCCCAAAGTAAACTTGATGAAGTTGTCATTTCAGTGCCTAACTCACTCCCCACAGCCAGAGGCAGCTCTCCAAACCAACTCAGAGCTGAGGCCATTCAAAACAACACCTTCAGGTGGGTGGAGTCTGCGCTGGGGCCCTCACTGGAGAGTGGCTGCTCTGGGTGACCCGGAAGTTTTGTCTCCTCACAGTAAAATGGAGCACTGTTCGGCTATGACAGAGAATTCTTAGGCTTTAACATTAAGTATTACAACAGTTCAACAAAAAAGGCTAAAGACAACAAGTCTAGTAAGTGCAATTACTTCTTTAAAGCATTAACTCCCAACACTGAAAAGGTAGGGCAATATTTAAGACATGAGCTCATGGTATATCTTAGCTTTACCCAACAGCACAGCTGTAGAAAGCAGGTGAAGCAGGCCAGCCAGCCAGTCAGAGGCTATGCTTCCTGTCCTGCTGGCCCATGGAACCTGGCCCAGAAGACCCTCCCCGTGACCCCGACACGTTCATGTCATTTCATTTGGAACCATCAACCCCCAGATGAGAAAGGGAGGCCTCAATGTTCCTTCACTGAAGAAATTATTTTATTCCATTTGAGAAAAGTACAAGATAGAGGTATTTGTTCTTTGCCTGGCAAAAGTGACTTCCGCACTGAGCACGGACCTGCCTAGGTGATGGAGGCAGATGTAAGAGGTACAGTGAGCAAAAACCTTCGGCCAAAAGGTGTTTACAGTTTCCATGGCAGCAGGTTCACAAGTTCATTTTCATCCTGACAATCATCATTGTGGTATCTAAGAAAACACTAAATTTTGAGGATAAACTTGATTATTGAACCTGGGAAAATCCCTGCTTTTCCACATGTGCTGAGAAGAAACTGAAAGAGCCTTTCAAATACTGTTCTGACATACCTCCTCCGCTTTCATAAAGAGATTGCTTCCATTTATCTGTAGGCCAAACGTATGACGACCTTACCACAGCAAGCTGCTCCAAAAGGTGGTCAAACGCCATCCTCACCCCTGCAGCTTGGCGTTTTCCTCCATGTAAACTGCTCCCAGGCCAAGCCACAAGCCCATGCCACTCCTGTGGTACCAAGGCTGGCCTCCTGTCAAAGCAGACTCTCAGACACTCCCCACTTGTCCCAGAAGAGGGGATGAAGGAATCTCAGGCTGACAGATAGCACACTTCCTCCTTTTATGACCTGTCACTGCAAGCGTCACCACTGGGCCCTCTAATGAGTGTTCAGTCTTTCTGCCCTAAGCCACATTGTCGGTAGTGTTGTTCTAGGCTCCTCACCCTGAAAGAAGTGGGTGTGCCCCACTCTGACGTGGTAGCTCTAGCTCTGGGAAGAATGGGGTTGGGAGGGGTGGGACGCGTCACTGTTCCACTGACCCTGCTTAAAGGCAGGCCTGCACGCGTCTCCACACTACCCAGGTCTGGACCCAAGCCAGCGAACGAGCTTCCAAATGATGCTCACTTGGACACCCCAGTCAAAGCTGTCCGTGGACACGCTCCTTAGGTGAAATTGAGAAGTGCCAGCCACACCATGCAGTAATTTACAACATGCTGTGTTTCTGACTGAATCTCTCTGAATGTGCAAGGATTTGAACTGTAGTTTTCTCAGTAATATGGCAGCAACAATGCTTCACGAAGGTGAACTGATGAGGCACACAGGAAGTAGGGCTTGGTACGATTTTAACCCGTCACTCCCTAAAGTCTCAAGCACCTTTGCTGGGGAGTACCCTCCACAACAGCCATGGACACTACGAACAGCTGGACAGCCCACCCAGGTGCAGTCCTCAATGCAGGCCACCTTGTTAAAGTCCATTCCTCCTCCCTGAGCATGTCATGCCTTCGGGACACTCACCGCCAGTCCACTAAATGCTCTGGTAAGAGGTGGCAGTGTGGCTACAGGAGGGGAATCGAGCAGTGATGGGTTCCTGCAGCCTTGGGTGAGGTGAGACTGTTCCTCAGGGTGAGTATAGCTGAGAACACAATGGTGACTTCTGAAGGCTGTCCATCCGTAAGTCGTAGAGAAGAAAATGCAGCACCTCTAAGATATGGCCATAAGGAACCCAGCTGTCAGAGCTGGGCTAATTCTTTAGAAAGGACATCACTGAGCCTCCTGTCTGGGTGGTCTGACCGAAATGGCTATGTGAAGGGGGGCTGGTTGGCACAGAGACTTTCTCTGACATTCCATTCATCGCCATCGAGCCATTGGGAATGGCAGTTGTGTTCAGACAACCAGGTGACTTGTCCGTCGCCTGTATTTTAAAATAGACCAAATAAAACACTGGCAGAACGATGCCAATCAGGAGCATGAGAAAAACAGCATTCCACCACTGAATGCCAGCGTCCGCATCGTTTGCCGGCGTCTTCCGAGTGGCAGGAAGCAGCGGCTGGCTGGAGGTCTCAATGCAGTAACTTTCGTGTAGGAAGATCTCTGATTGCACTGCGCTCTCGATGTTCTGGTCAATTCCCTTAAAGAAATCTGTCAGCTGGCTGGACTGGACACCAGAGCTGTCCAGGTCAGGCAGCTCTGTGAAGGTCACTCTGGTCTCTGAGGGCGGGCTTGGGAGGGGTTTTAGCTCTTTGCGCACCTCCGTTAGGAGCCCATGGTTTTTCACTGGAATCTTAATAGATTTTAAAGCATAGAAGTCTTGTTCTCGAATGAAGTTGTTGACTTTCTTAATATCTGCCACCTAGAGAAGCCATGGAAAACACCATCAGAAAATATGTAAAGCTCCCAAAAACTTACAACGGAAAAGTACCTCTTAACCTTCCTGAGTGATGGACCAACCCCAACCCACTTAAGAATCTGCTGAGTAGCAGAGAATCACGCCTACACACAACAATTCGTTTAGCTGAGTAACTGTTCTTTGGCTTCAACTGTCTTAATGTATAATGTATACCTCAGTCATACATTTTTTCTAGAGATATTCAAGTGTGAATCATTTAAGATCAGTTTTGGAAAACAGATTTTTATAAAAATCTGTTTAAAGTGTTACTACGGCAACAATTAGAAGACACACAATCAAGGTATAGCCTTCTTTCTTTTTAAAGTTTAAATACTTAATTTTAACTTTTGAGGGAACAGTGACCCCATCTGGCTGATTTCCCTCTCACATCAGCCCCCTATCAGTAGCTGCCATAGTGGTTTTTAACCAAACATTTCCAAGGCCTCAGCCTGCTCTACAGATACGCTCGACACTTAGTCTACCTTGAAAGATGTCTTGAAGCTGAGTCCGATGCTTTAACCCCACCCCCCAGAAGTACTGCATAACATATACACTTATTGTTCAAATCATCTGGATAATTTCAGCCCCCAGAGATTCTTATGATACTTCTGAACAATAATTAGAAATATGTAGGCAATCAAAAATTAAGTTGGAAACGACGTTCTATTTCAGTATTAGTACTTGAGGTAAAAGGAACACTGCTGGGAATTTTATCAAGTACTAAAGTTCTTTATAAACTCTTTTCATAGTCAAGTGAGCTGACCTCTGACCTTAAGACTTAAGAAACAGGAGGCAATGTAAGTCAAAAGGCAAACTTTCCCTCAATTTAATGTTTGAAAATTCACAAAAAGCTGATGAGATGGATTCTGATGTTTGACTCATAAATCAATCCACTTACAGTGTAAATACAGCAATAGATCTTTAAATCACACCTTACTGTAACCAAGCACCTTCATGCTAATTATCTGGAAACTGTGTTTATCATTTCATTGAATAGGGGTGGGTGACGTTTTAAATTTATTATGTCTTCAAACTAACCGTCCCATGAGATGCTTGAGACCCTCTGTCTTTGCCACTAATACACTAACAGCAAATTTTTTCCTTTAAACAGAAAACCTGATCGCTTAGGGGAGGCATCACATATCCTTTACTAGCTTACTAGACACCGACCTTCCACGAAATCCATGACATTTATTCAGGTCTCTCTATAAATAATCCATTATGCCTATAGCAGGTGATAGTTATTGTTGTTAAGCGCCACTGAGTTGGTTCTGACACATAGCGACTCACATGGTTGAAGAGGTTTTAAATCTTCGGTGGAACAGAAAGCCTCATCTTTCTCCCAGGGTGGCCGGCGGGTGTGAACCACAGACCTTGTGGTTCACAGTCCAGAGCTACTGCATTCCCACAGAAGGCAATTTTAAGAGTAAAATACAAACATTGGTACAATTTAAAGACCTCTGTGTATCACTGGACTCCTGGTATGGTGCTGGAGGATCAGACCTGAAAGCAAACCACAAGGTTGGCAGTTCAAACCCACCGGCTGCTCCTCAGAAACCCTATACAGGGTCATGATGAGTCAGAATCAACTCAACGGCTCTTAACAACAACAACATGCATCGACTTGTTTATTTCCAGGAAAGACCACAGCATCCCCCACAGATGGATAAATGACTGGCATTTGAAGGAGGAAACCATTTTAAGCAAGTACTTTATATAGACTTGGAGAAGGGCACACAGCTCTGAAGCATAATGTCAGCAAAGTGAAATGCAGGCAGCCCCGGGTTACAAGGTCTGTTCCTAACTGTGTGCAAATAAGTCAGAACAGGTGCATATGGCTCTAATTTAGCCTTACTTTAGGTCACCAAGACTCACAGCCTTCTCACTGATTTCAACGTGTGCTTGCAGCAAGTGAAGGCGACTATGAGGAAGAAGTTGAGAGTAGGGGTTGGTTCAGTGGGTTCGAGGTGAGGGCAACTTTACATTAAAGGGCAGGTACATAACCAGGGGATTTTCTATATACAAATACCTTCAATCTAGAAGAAAATGCAGGCATTCTAGAAATACTTTCCTACTTACTTTGCCATTGTTAATCACTCTGAATGCTAAAAACATAATTAAAAAGAAAAGCAAGAGTCACATGGATACACAGTACACAAACACTACATCATGCATTTCTAAAAGAGAATTTTACCAGTTAAACATGCTACCACCAGCAAGAAGGTTTTTTTAAGAATTAACATAACAAAGAAAACAAGCATCCAAAGAAATCTTGGATAAATTCTGCCTGGTATCTCCAACCACCATAGGTCTTCAATAAAATGGACTCAAAATAAAGGAAAAAAGAAAAGTTTGAGCAGACATACTCTACAGAGAGAAAACTGCCCATCATCTGAGACCCCAGATTAATCCTCTCCAAAGCTCAGAACTGTGATAAATAACTCTTTTAGGTGGTGGTGGTTACGTGCCGTGGAGTCGGTTCCAACTCATAGCGTCCCTGTACAGGGTTTCCGACGTTATAAATCTTTACGGGAGCAGAAAGCCTCATCTTTCTTCCGTGGACCGGCTGGTAGTTTTGAACTGTTGACTTTGAGGTTAGCAGCCCTACTTGTAACTGCTATGCTACCAGAATTAGGATGGTCTTTCTTCAGGATGGCAGGAGTCAAGAGAGTAGCAGGCTGGCATAACAAAAGAAGCCCATGGACAAGAGGGGAAATTACTTTCAATGAGAATGCTGCCATCAAAGACAAATCCAGTAGATTGTAAACCCCTTTTGTTTTCGTTGTTGTTGTTAGGTGCTATGGAGTCTGTACCAACTCATAGCGACCTTATGTACAACAGAACGAAACACTGCCCCATCCTGGGCCAACCTCACAATTGTTGCCATGCTTGAGCCCATTGATGCTGCCACTTTGCCAATCCATCACACTGGGGGTCTTCCTCGTTTTCTCTGACCCTCCACCTTACCAAACATGATATCCTTCTCCAGCGACTGGTCCCTCCTGACAATATGTCTGAAGTATGAGAGACAAAGTCTGGTCATCCTGGCTTCCAAGGAGCATTCTGGCTGCACTTCATCCAACACAAATCTGTTGGTTCTTTTGGCAGCCCATGGCACTTTCAACATTTTCCTCCAACACCAAAACTCAAAAGCATTAATTCTTCTACTGTTTTCCTTATTCACTTTCCTGCGTTAGCATGCATATGAGGTTATTGAAAATACAATGGCTTGGGTAAATCCCATAGGACTCAGTCCAGAGGAACCTGGGGAGAGGCTTTCTCAAGACCGGGGAACAAAACTCTTTGTGAGCGGCCATGCCATGCTGTCTTCTGGGTCGGGTACCCGATTTAAAGAAGACCTCACTCTCACTAAAATGAGTACAGATTGGATTTCTTGAGCGTTTGTCAGTAAGCACTTGTGATAACTTATCAGTGACCTCATAACCAAGAGGAACAGAGGCAGTATCGGAGTACTGACAACATTTCTCACAGAGGTAAAGGTATTCCAACCGCTCTTTAACTAAACAGGGGCAGCCCTGTGCGGGAGCCCATCCAATGCTGCTGTGTAAGTAAGGTCTGGGAACCTGTTCCACAAGACAACTCTGACTCATTTCCATCTCCAGTAGCCCCCTTGGCTCTCTCCCTCCCGTTCCAGGTGGTCCCTGTGTTCTCTGCATATTTGCCTTTTCCATTTAGCATAATGTCTCCAAGCTCCATCCTTACGGCAGCATGTCCTTCATTTCTCCTACTGGCTGAGTGATGTTTGTACCATATTTTATTTATCCATTCATTTGTTGATGAGCATTTAAATGGTTTCCACCTATGGGCTACTGTGTGAATAGTGCTGCTGTGAACATTGGTATACAAGTCTGAGTCTCTGCTTCCAAGTCTTTGGGTACATACCTAGGAGTGGAATTGCTGGGTCATACGGTACTTCTAGTTTTCGTTTTTTTAAGAAAAGGACACACTGTTTTCCAAAATGGCTGTACCAGTTTACATTCCCAACATCCTCATCAACGTGTAATTTTTAGGTTGTAGTTTCTAGCTTAGTTACCCTTGTTGTTGTAAAGTGCCATCGAGTCAGTTCTGACTCATACCCACCCTGTATAGGGTTTTCAAAGAACAGCTGGTAGGTTTGACCTGCAGACCTTGTCGTCTGCAGTCCAGTGCTGACCCTAGAGCCCCACCCCAGGAGTCCTTGGCCACCCTAGTGGGAGTGAAATGGGACGCATTTTGTTTTTGAGCTGATGATTACAGATGGTGTCCGTTTGCATGCCCTCTTTGGTGAAATAAGGTTGTAATCTTTTTGGGAGCAGATCTCCACATTTTTCTCCTGCAGAGCAGCCAGTGGGTTAGAACCACCCAGTTATCAATCTTTTTGGAAGGAGATCACCACATTTTTCTCCTGCAGAGCAGCCAGTGGGTTCGAACCACCCACTTATCAATTAGCAGCCCAAGTGATTAGCCAATGCACCACCAGGGCTCCAAGGTAACTCTACAGAAGCAGTTTTACTCAGTAAAACACAGGGATCTGGAGCCAGCTGGGAGCCCTGCCCATCAGCGCATTCAGCTGGGTCCCTCAGGCAGCGCCTTTGGGGCGCTCCTCACCTTGCAGCCATATTGCAGCGCTAGCTTGTTGAGGCTGTCTTCCTGGGTCAGCTCCCGCTGCAGCAACACCACCTCGGCGGCTCCAGGCTGGTGAGGGCGGTGGGCGCAGTCCTCTGGGCGCTCCTTGCCTCGGGACCGCAGGACCACATGGCCTGACTCTTCCGCGGAGGAGTCGCCAGAGTCTCCGCTGCCATCCTTAAACTCATCAACGTGGCTGCTTGAAGTCCTGCACACAACAGCAGGGCCTTGGAAGGGCTTGTGCACGTCTTTCTGCCTCATTTTCTTAACTGAAAACCAAACCCGAGGTCAATTCCACACAAACCCACTGCCATTCGCTTGTTGTTATTGTTTAACTGGCCTAGAGTCGGTTCCGACTCACAGTGACCTTGTATAAGGTTTTCAAGGAGTGGCTGGTGAGCTTGAACCGCCGACCATGCGGTTCAAACCGACCTTGCATCCCAGTACATTATCAGAACAATAACACTGTACATACTCAACAGTGGGCTCCAGCTTGGTAACAACTGTGAGGCTGGCCCGGGACCAGGCAGTGTGTCGTTCTGTTGTGCACAGGGTCGATATAAATCGGTACCGACTCAGTGGCACCTAACAACAACATACTCAACACACAACAGTACAAAACAGGGGCTTACACTGGCTGAGAGGGCTCCTGGTGTGGCGCTGTAGGACAGGCACTTGGCCATAAAGACGATTTGAACAGCAAGGTTGATGGTTCAAACTCACTAGTCACTCCTCGGAAACCCTATACAGAGTGGCTACGAGTCAAACCTACTCAATTGCAATTAATAACAACATGCTGGCTGAGATGGGAGAATGTAGGCAGAATAAAAACACTGCATTTTCTCCCTAAGTACGCTTTTTACCCAGAAAACAAAGGCTGCCCTTTCTCCTCCCCTGATTCGTCATCCACAGCTGTGTCATCCTGACACCCACATCTGTACAGACACCAATCCTATTCGTGGTCTCCTAGTAGCGAGGGGGAGGGGAATCCTTGTGCTAAGAGGTGAGTAAATACAGCATCTCTAGCCTCCTGACCACTGAGAATCAAACTCCCAACCTTTCCCCAAAGTTCCTATTCAATGCTTGCTGCGCTAAGGGCACTTGATTGCCAAGAACGCAATGAGGGGGGATGACTTTTATTTTGAAACCTCCTGAATTCTATAATCTGTAGGCGCCCAGGGGCGGTGCTGTGAGTTAACGCACTGGGCTGCAACCGTGGTTGGTGGTTCAAGCTCACAAGTCACTCCTTGGAAACTATATAGGGTCGCTATGGGTCGGAACTGACGCGACGGCACTTACCACCACCAACAGGCCAAGTTGGGGGAAATGCCCGTCAAACTGAATTTCACCCAGTTCTCATAGGTCTCTTTGCTCTTATTAAAAACCTGCAGATCGAATCTTTATTTTCACTGTAGTTGTTGTTGTTGTTAAGTGCCAGCGAGTCGATTATGACTCATAGCGACCCTGTATAGGGTTTTTGAGGAGCGGCTGGAGGGACTGAACCACCGGCCTTGAAGTTCAAGCCGACTTTGCGGTCCAGTGCTGATCCCACAACATCACACCAGGCAAGTGCAAACTCGTAACACCTTCCTTCCAGTCTCCAAAGTGTTTGAATGAGTTTCAGAACTGAAATCTCAAGCACCAGGATTGACAGCTTCAAAAGAACAGCTGATCCCAGGACTCTTCAGAGCCCGCGCCCAACCCCAACCTCTAGGGGGCGCTGCCCGAACCGGCTCCCCATTCCCACCCAAGCTCCGGGCCTGCAAGGGGTCCCAGTCACTCTCAGGCCTCAGTTGCTCTCCAGCACCTCTCGTGAAAGGAGGGAGTCGCCACGCAGGAGCTGACAAAGTATCTAGGTAGCAGCCGTCCTACGGCTTACACAAGCTGAGCCCCGACGTTCAGTAAAGGTACGATCTCTGACCTTTGACCTCCAATCCAAAGAGCTCCGGCTGCCTTCAAGGCCTGGGAGCCCCCTCCGTCTGGGGGAGTGGCGGCCCAAGCCGAGCTGACCATGGGAGCCAAACCCTAGACAGGAGCACCCTCACCACAGACCCCGGTACCTCAGCGCCCAGCTCCACAGCCGCCACCGCGGTGCCAGCAGATTGGCCTGGAAAAACAGCAGGGCGCTCCGAGGGGGCGAGGCCTGAGAGGCAGCCAATGATACCATCGGTGGGCGGGCCCTGAAACGGACTCGGCTGTGCTGAGTGGTCAGCACCAGACCCGCCTGGGAGCGGGCGGGGCCGGCGCGGGGGCTGGGCGGGGCCATGAGGGCTGGCGCCTCATCTGACCTTCGCCCTGCCGGGGCTGGCGGGGTCGCAACTTTTGCGCCAGCTTTTCTGCACCCAGAATTCACCGCTGTCTGCTGAGCCTCCGTTTTCTCACCATTCAGAGAGGCTCTAAGGAGCTCTGGTAGCGTAATGGTTACAAATCAGGCTGCTAATCTCACGGTCACTAGTTCGAAACTATCTGCTGTTCCGCGGGAGAAAGATGGGGCTTTCTGCTCCCGTAAAGGTTCCCAGCCTCGGAAACCCTGTGCAGGGTCGCTGTGAGTCGGAACCGACTCCACGGCACTTAACAACAACAACAGAGAGCCTCTGGCCCCGCCCCGTGTCTGTAACTGACGCGCGTCCTAGGAGAGAGGGGGTCACTGCCGAGCTTCTGCGGAGAAAGCGACCCTCTGTCTTTTGGATGGGACAGGGGTGCCTGCGAGTCCTAAGGCTTTGGGGTCAGGGCCCCGGCTGAGTTTGGCGGCTCTGCCCAGGAGAATAAAAACTGAAAAGTCTGCGAACATTGAACTACAAACGAACAAAAAAGCGGTACTATTAACAAGTATCGGCTGTTGGTAATATTTATCAAGTACTGGATCCTAGTGTAGTGCTGTAGGATAAGCACAAGGTCGGAGGTGCAAACCCACCAGCCGCTCCTCAGAAATCCCTTTGTTGTTGATAGCGTCTTCCAGTGGATTCCGACTCATAGCGACCCTACACAGGGTTTCCAAGGAGCAACTGGTGGGTTTGAACTGCCGACCTTGTGGTTCGCAGCCCAGTGTTCATCTACACCAGGACTCCAGTGTCGTTTTGAGTTGAAACCGATGGCGCTTAACCAACAAAAAACGGATGTTGGAAGACTACTAAAGTTTAAAAGTTATGGGTGAACTCTCACACGCCAAGGAACAAACGTTCAAAACTCCTATCCAAAAACGGAAGTTAATCTGGGCCAAATGCTACAAACAGGGCAAAGGATTAACATCTTTAATCTCATCAGATTACTAAAACAGACACAGACCCAGGTAGAAAACATGAGCAGACAACACATTAAAGAATACATATTGTTAAAAATGAGAGGAAACCTCATTAGAAATCAAAACAGTACAAATTCAAATGGCAAGACTTCAGAAAAACCCTCAAAGGCTCTCCATCCCACTTAGAATAAAAGTCAAAGTCTCGATTTTGAGTGACAGAACCCAAATTGATGTGAGGGCTCCAAACCTTCCTTGTTGGTCTACCCTCTCCTTTCCATACACCGTGCTGCCTTCTCACCTTTGAACAGCTCTGGAGTCCTGGTGTGGCGCTGGGGGCTAATGCGTCAGACTACAAAGTCAATTTGAACTACAATGTCAGTGGCTCACCAGCTGCTCATTGGAAACCCTATACAGGGTCACTATGGGTCAGAATCAACTCAACAGCACTTAACAACAACAACATCGCCTACCTTTTGGCCCTTGGTATGAGTGGACCCACTGACCCTCAGGTCTCACCTATAAATGACCTTTCCTTTAGTGATAGGTTCCTTGTGCACTTGGTCCGAACATGCTGATTTTCACAACATTTCTCAGTTAATTTGCTTGTTTTATCAGGTCCCTGGGTAGTGCAAATTGTTAACACTCAACTAGTAATCTAAAAGGAGCCCTACCTGCGTAGCAGTTTATGTGTTGGGCTGTTAACTTCAAGGCCAGACCTTTGAATCCACAAGTCACTCTGCTGCAAGAAAGATGAAGCTTTCTGCTCTCTTAAAAATGTATGGCTTCGGAAACCCTATAATCAATCAACTCCATAGCACACAACCACCACTGCTAACCTGAAGTTTGGTGATTCAAACCTACTCAGTGGTGCTGCAAAATAAAGACCTGGCTATCTGCTCTGTAAAGATTGTTGTGGTTGTGTTGTTATGTGTTATGGAGTCGGTTCCAACTCATAGCAACCCTGTAAAGGGTTTCCGAGGCTGTAAATCTTTACAGGAGCAGAAAGCCGCATCTTTCTCCCGCGAAACAGCTGGTAGTTTCGAACTGCCGATCTTGCGGTTCGCAGCCCGATTCATAACCACTACGCTACCAGAGAAAACCTGATGGAGCTCAGTAATATTCCGGAAAGAACTGACTCCATGGAAATAGCTATGGTTGTTTTTGTTTGTTCGGCTGGTTGGTTTGGGATTTTTTGTTAGGATCTTCCTACTCTAATCATCACTGTAATTACTTCCAGTGTCCTGCTCAAATGCAGGTACTTAGGAAGTGCTCATTAAATACTGGTTCAGGAGGCAAGACAGCAAGTGAGGGAAGGGAAGAAACAAAACCCAAACCCTAGTGTGTTTGACTCCAGAGTCCAAGCTGTCAGTTACCAATGGTATTTCTGGCCATGGCCAGGGGAATTTGGTTAAGTCTGGGAGTCAGGATTTATAACTGTGAGTAATGACGGGAAGACTCAGAATGAAATGTGCAAATCCGCATTAGGATAGATTCTGTCTGATCAGTTATGCTTGTGTGGTTCATTCAACTTATGGACATGGAGCTCCTTCTATGTACCAAGCACTAAGGGACACAATAGGAAACCAGGCTGCCAAACTTCCATGGGCTATTTCCAGAGGAGAGACAGACAGACAGACACAGAAAAGATCATTAGAGATTATGCTAAATCTGTGAAAGATACAAACGAGGTCATGTATACTAATGAAAATCATGTAAACTTTGCTAAAGTAAAGAATGGCTATGTGTCCTTTCAATGTCCTACAGGAGTAGTCTCGAAGACCCACCCCAAAAATGATCTCTTTCTCTCAGAAAGCTGTTCTCAAAGCGTGATCTGGGAATCCTGGGGGTTCCTGAGACCTTTTCAGAGGGTCTGTGAGGTAAAAACTCTTTTCATACCAATGCTAATATTATTAATTCTTTTACTTAATTCTTTCTTGACTGTACAATAATTTAGTTAACATTTATTGAATCTTTACAATCTTTACAAGGTCAACAGATCTGACCACAACACCGCTATAAC